CTGAAGAAACAGCTTCTTCCTCTTTAATAAGTATTAATTAGGCTTATTAAGACTGTGATTCTTCAACTCTCTTAAATGAACTGGTCTTTCCATCTTTCTTTGGGACGACAACCTCGGCTGATTATAGAAATGTGTAAATGTGTGTAACAGATAATAATGATACTGTGTAAGAATGATGATAATCTTATAATACTGCTGTATTATTATGTTACTTTCTGATCACACTGATCAAACTATAAATATTTCTAAATGAAATAGAATTTGTACTCACAGGTGAAGTTACAGTCAACAGCCATTCCATCCCACATTTGCAATATGCTCTGATAATTTTTGTATGGTTCCCAAAACATCAGCTTCAATAACACAGCACTAATTAAAATCATAATTTCGCAATGTAAAGCATGTACACTCATCGCAACAGAGAAAAACAACAATAAGACAAACGTACACAATGTTGTTAAACAGAATTCTTTTTCAGAAGGCGGGAAATACAAAACTCGATTAAGACACTCGGCTAAGTTCGGTTTGATTCGGCTCAGCCCTGCGTAATTAACACTTCGACTGTTTTCATACTTCCAAGCGGGCGTTCACGAAACTACTTCTCGATTAGTTCTACACGGTGTTCCATTCAAATACCAACCTTAACTAAAACACACCAACACCTTCATGCACAAAACGATAAAAATGAATTCTTGAAGCCGAATTCAGTTGTTGCAGCTGATTCACTTCTTAAAATCGGTAAGGCCGTAATTTCATCTGCTTTGTCTCTCGATAAGTACTTGTTACAAATCTTTCGTGCACCGGAATTTTGTTACTAACCGTTGTAATGTTGTTTTATTCGGTACTTCCTTGTCCGGGCACGTATTGCTAAATGCTTCATGAACAGTAACAAATGATTTTGATTCGAAGTAATAATGTCCAAGAATAAAAAGGCCTTCTGTCATGAATGCATATTATTCGAACCTGCAATCTTTTACGCAGCTGGTGTGAGCGGAGGCCTAGCAACCAGGATAACCTTGACTCGAGTGTCATGGGGGGGGGGGTTGAGAGTGGACATGCTTATTGTTTAAGTTTTGTTCCGCAAAACGTGATTGTTTTTGTTTGCGTCTTAAATGGTAAACTATGCACGCTGTAACCCAGGGGCGTTGGATTTTCGACGGTCGTAAATCGCGAAGCGTCTGTGTACCACTCAAAATAGGGCTCTTCACGCACGTTTCTCGTTTCGAATATTCTCTACAGATTTGAATTCTATGTAACGTTGACCCGCGTCCTCAAGGTTGTCATGGAAATTTGTCGACTGGCCAATAAGTGGCAAGTACAAATGTGACGGTTATATATTGCCAGCTCTCGAGCTCAGAGGGGCAACATTAGAGTATTTTGGCCCAGCATTTGAGGGCTACGGACCACTTCACTACATTACATTACACAGACCAGCAACATTATCTATTGCAAATTAAATGAAGCCAAACAATTGCAAATGTCTGCCTTTATATGGAAACAGTGGTTCAGTATAAAATACGAAAGGCGTAGCGTTATTTCGAGTGGACAGAGGAAAAATGGACAAGTTACAAGGAGTACAGTAGGTTTAAGTAGTAGTCATCCCTTTGAACTGGGATTATTTTGACATTTGCCTGCTACATCAGTTCGAAAACCATCCGGAGACCGAAGCTCATCTAAATAGAATTTAAAAATGAAGTCCGTACCTCAAAGTAAACACTACACTTCACCATTACAAAGACCAACTCGCTGATGAAGTTTAAGGAAATAATAGTTGTTTATTCTGAAAATCACACGAAATCCCAGACTCCTAGTTTATATAAAGTTGCTTTGCTGATAAAATGACAGCGCTAATCGAGGGTCGAGTTCCACCCTGTTCTTCTTCAGTTACTATTCCACATAGGCTGCGGTCACACTGCAAGCGTATTCGCGCGAATTAATTGTCGGGCGTTATCGAGCGACATCGCGCGAACGTTTGTGGCGCGAGCCTTCAGTATGAAAATGGAGTTGAGGAAGAGAACCGTTTGAATACATACCAGTACATATTAAATGCTACTGAGGAAGCAATAAAAAAGCAGAGTAATTTCCGAAACTGTATTTCACCATCAGAACGCTGCTGAATTCTTTGATAGATGAAAATTTCCTAATTGTGTGGGCTACATTGATAGGAAACATATCCGTTTGAAATG